CTTTGGGGCTGTTTTTCTGCAAAGGGACCAGGACGACTGATCCGTGTAAAGGAAAGAATGAATGGGGCCATGTATTGTGAGATTTTGAGTGAAAACCTCCTTCCATCAGCAAGGGCATTGAAGATGAAACGTGGCTGGGTCTTTCAGCATGACAATGATCCCAAACACACCGCCCGGGCAACGAAGGAGTGGCTTCGTAAGAAGCATTTCAAGGTCCTGGAGTGGCCTAGCCAGTCTCCACATCTCAACCCCATAGAAAATCTTTGGAGGGAGTTGAAAGTCCGTGTTGCCCAGCGACAGCCCCAAAACATCACTGCTCTAGAGGAGATCTGCATGGAGGAATGGGCCAAAATACCATAAACAGTGTGTGAAAACCTTGTGAAGACTTACAGAAAACGTTTGACCTGTGTCATTGCCAACAAAGGGTATATAACAAAGTATTGAGAAACTTTTGTTATTGACCAAATACTTATTTTCCACCATAATTTGCAAATAAATTCATTAAAAATCCTACAATGTGATTTTCTGGATTTTCTTTCCTCATTTTGTCTGTCATAGTTGACGTGTACCTATGATGAAAATTACAGGCCTCTCTCATCTTTTTAAGTGGGAGAACTTGCACAATTGGTGGCTGACTAAATACTTTTTTTCCCCACTGTATGTGTACATTTCTTTTGCAATGATCGCGCACGCAACCCGGGCGGTCTGGTCAGTATTGCCAGATAGCCTAAAAATAATGAAAGAAACACCTCAATGTAGCCTATAGGTATACATTGCACGTGAATGATAAATTTATGGGGGTTTTTATGTACTGTTTTCTCTTTATTCAACCCGCCCTCCACCCACCCGCACAATATTTCATGACCCTAAATCCAGTCAACCCGGCGCGTCTACAATAGAAGCTGCGCCTACTGTCGCTCACAGTAAAGCAGTTACAAGGAAGGGAAATAAGGCATTTAATGCCCAGTCCTCCTCTCCTTCTCTCACGAAAACGAAACTTATCCGAATGTATTTGCATATCATCAGCACAGATTGTTCAATACGGACTACGCAGACACTGATATGACAGCTTAATGAGTCGATAAACCGGTAAGATTATGCTTGTTGGAGTGACTATCTGGTAACGTCCCATGTAAAAAGTGAATGTACATATTTGTATGTTGTTTATTTGTCAATTACATTGGACGTTCGTGGGCAAAAATGTATGTCAAAATTATGTTATGACGGATGTCGCCGAGAGCAGCAGTGTTAACATTAGTCGTTAAGATCTTGGGATAAATCTTAACGGCATTGGAAAAGCTCCAACCTTTCACAAAAAATATTGTTTTATTGCACTAGTAGTTTGGTCAAACCCTTATTGTTGACAGTATAGAAGGAGACAAGAGTTCATTTTGAATAGTAGCCATAGACCTTAGGCTAGCCTAGTTGACAGGTGTGCGTCCGTTGCAGGTTAAAGTATCAATACCAACTGTGAACCAACTATATTAATTTGGGGGCAAGTCGATAGACAAATGAAACAGTCATGGACATTTAGCTAGCTAGCTACTTTGTCCCGGGAGATGAAGATTGGGTTGTTATTTTACCTGACATGCATATGGTCCTCTTTTTAGATAGTTATTTAACCCTGAGTCATACAAAATCGTGTGTTTCTCTACTCCGATGACTAATCCACAGATAAAAAGGGAAACCTAGTTAGTTTTTTTTTAGTTATCTTTAATTAATATCTCCTTGTTTGTCTTTCAAGCATCCACATGGGTTTGTATCTTCCTGATTTTCAATAAGAAGGGGATTTGCAGCGCATGGAGCATCTCAAATAGTACCAAGTCCTATTTTATCTCTTGGCAATGCAGATGCTCGTTGACGTGCACGATCGTGTGGGCGAATTTATTGAATATGAAGTGTAAATTATTTTTGCTACGCTCTCATACACAATGTGGCTGGTGAGGTTTTTGTGTTACGCGCGCGCGCATGAGCGCATCAGCCTATAAACCAATTTTTGAGGTATGAAGGAAAACATGAAGCTTAATAGACAAATTGTTTTTGAAGTATGGTATTGAATGCGTGTAGGACTAGGCAGTTTATTTATTTATTTTGAACTAGAAAAAGTATATTTCCTAAATTTGCTTCAGCTATCTGAATATATTTGGTAGTGGAAGAAGTTTTAGTTTTTACTGCAGTAGGCTAGTAGCAGAGCCTAGTTAGTTTTCGCTTATTTCTCAAGAAGAATGCAACGAGTAAAGCAGTCACAAGGAAGTTAAAGTAGGCGTGTAATGCCCAGTCCTCCCCACCTTCTCTCAGGAAATGGAAACTTATCTGAATGTACACTACCAGTCAAAAGTTTTAGAACATCTACTCATTCAAGGGTTTTTCTTTATTTTGACTATTTTCTACATTGTAAAATAATAGTGAAGACATCAAAACGATGAAATAACACATATGGAATCATGTAGTAACCAAAAAGGTGTTAAACAAATCTAAATATATTTTATATTTGAGATTCTTCAAATAGCCACCCTTTGCCTTGATGACAGCTTTGCACACTCTTGGCATTCTCTCAACCAGCTTCACCTGGAATGCTTTTCCAACAGTCTTGAAGGAGTTCCCACATATGCTGGGCACTTGTTGGCTGCTTTTCCTTCACTTCCTGTGGTGGTCCTCATGAGAGCCCATTTCATCATAGCGCTTGATGGTTTTTGCGACTGCACTTGAAGAAACTTCCAAGTTCTTGAAATGTTCCGTATTGACTGACCTTCATGTCTTAAAGTAATGATGGACTGTCGTTTCTCTTTGCTTATTTGAGCTGTTCTTGCCATAATATGGACTTGGTCTTTTACCAAATAGGGCTATCTTCTGTATACCCCCCTACCTTGTCACAACACAACTGATTGGTTCAAACGCATTAAGAAGGAAAGAAATTCCACAAATTAACTTTTAACAAGGCACACCTGTTAATTAAAATGCATTCCAGGTGACTACCTCATGAAGCTGGTTGAGAGAATGCCAAGAGTGTGCAAAGCTGTCATCAAGGCAAAGGGTGGCTATTTGAAGAATCTCAAATATAAAATACATTTTGATTTGTTTAACACTTTATTGGTTACTACATGATTCCATATGTGTTATTTCATAGTTTTGATGTCTTCACTATTACATTTTACATTGACATTTTAGTCATTTAGCAGACGCTCTTATCCAGAGCGACATACAGTTATTGAATACATATTTTTATATTTTTTTATTTTTTTATACTGCCCCCCCGTGGGAATCAAACCCACAACTCTGGCGTTGCAAACGCCATGCTCTATCAACTGAGCTACATCCCTGCCGGCCATTCCCTCCCCTACCCTGGACGACGCTGGGCCAATTGTGCGCCGCCCATGAGTCTCCCGGTCGCGGCCGGCTGCGACAGAGCCTATTATTCTACAATGTAGAAAATAGTCAAAATAAAGAAAAACCCTTGAATGAGTAGGTGTTCTAAAACTTTTGACCGGTAGTGTATATGGCATTGGAAAAGCTCCAACCATTCACAAAAAATATTGTTTTATTGCACTAGTAGTTTGGTCAAACCCTTGTTGTTAACTGTATAGAAGGAGACCACAGTAGTCGGGGGATTGCAATTACTTCCCCACAAATCAGTTACCTCTTGCCATGAAGTATAACTCTGAAAAAACTTTAACTGTAGGTAATTCATTTTGAATAGTAGGCTAGCCTGCTTGAAAAAAAAAATCTTAGCCTAACCATAACTTTATGAATGAGGAGTAATTGAAAGTGAAAGAATGTTTGTCTGACTGCTGGGGGGAAAGGGATACCTAGTCATTTGCACAACTGAATGCATTCAACCGAAATGTGTCTTCCGCATTTAACCCAACCCCTTTGAGTCAGAGAGGTGCAGGCGGCTGCCTTAATCGACATATATGTCATCAGCGCCTGGGGAGCAGTTGTTGGGGGTTAACTGCCTTGCTCAAGGGCAGAACGGCAGATTTTTCTACCTTGCCGGCTGATGAATTCGAAACCAGCGACCTTTGGGTAATTGACTCAACACTCTTAACCGATAGGCTACCTGCCTATGATAATGGTTTGTCATAGTGATCATGTTTATTTTTTCAAACAGATAGGGTTCATCATGAAGAAGTGCCCTCGTTGTGGTCACATGCTGGCAGAATATTTTAAATTCTGCTGTGACTGTGGATTTAAGTTACCTGTCCAATCCCAAGTTTGTACCTCAGGTAATATATTATTTATATATATATTATTTATTTTGAAATATTATTAATCATGAATCAATATCTATTATTTGTCATTTGTTTGACCATCTATACATTATTTATGTATTAATATTAATAATATTTGGATGTTATTCAGTATACTTAACCATTCAAGATGGTCAACTGCACCCCACTTTTTCAAGTAGGCTAATTACAACACAAATGTTTTATTATATAGGAAATACAAAGTTCATTTAATCTTGACCAACTTTTTTTAAACTAGCCAACTGCATATCCTGCAGGCCTACAGCATGTATATATATATATATATATATATATATATATATATATATATATATATATAGGGCCAGTGATATGCATACTTAGGACCGTGGCCAGATTACCCCCCGGGCACATGCCCAGGGACCCTACATCCAGGGGCCCCCACTGATTTTGTAATAATGTTTAAGTCACTCAGATAACATAAGAACAAGGCATAAGCCATGGCTAAATGTGTAGAATTACAGGAAATAAACTTTTAAACTACAAAAGTTTCTCTCTACCACCAAGAGGGGACCCTCTAAAGTGTTCTTGCCTAGGGCCCCATATTTGGTTAGTCTGGCCCTGCCTAGGACCAGGAGTCTTAACTGATTATGTGTCCTGACCAGGAAAAACCCTGGCCTTATGCATAATATATGGAATTGTCCAATAGGAAATTAATCCAAACTATTAAATGCAAGATAGCTTGAATGTTCGTATCATGTAGTTCATCAAAGTGACTTGTCCTCAATATCAGATAAGAACACTGCAGAGCATCAAACCTCTGCGGTCAGTGAAGCAGAGCCCCAGCATGAGAATGAGCCACTGACATTGTCCGGGAACAAAGCTGACACACCTCTAAAACACTCCAGTGAAGAACCAGGGGGCAATGTCAAGAAAAAGGTGCCTGTATCACAATTGTATATGTTGAAAATGTAATACATGTTTCATCACAAAACAATAAAAAGGTGCCAAATATCCAGTAGAGTATAGAGTGAATATGCAGAGTTTTGCTTTGCTTTGTTTCCCTTAGTTACCTTTAAATACTGAAATGTGTTATATTTGAAAATACAATTCTGTAACACTTTTGTTTGTACATAGAGTGGAGACACCCCCAGCAACACTGAGCTGACCACAGACACACATCAGAAAGAGGAGTCTTCTGGGAGTGAGAGCTATGCAGCGGTGGACGTTCCCCCTACAGGAACTCCATCTAAGAACACTGCCACTCCAACCATACCCTCCAAACCTCCGACCTCTCTTATCCCATCCCTGTACCACACAACCACAGAAGACCAACCCGAGGGTCCATCAAAGGAAAATAAAAGTGAACCACTGAATGAGTCAAACACAAGCCAAACCCAACCTAGTTCAGTAAAACAAGAGTTGCCTGAGAAGACTGGCTCATCCACACATGAGACAACAGATCAGAACACAGGACCTGTCTCAGTCCCAACTCAACCAGTAAGAAAGGCATCATATAAAGAAGCTCTGGTGGGAAACTCTCAGGACACAGAAGACATGTCCAGGACCCAGAGTGTTGGAGAAACCACAGAGACAAGAACAGCAAAGAGGAAGCAGAGGTAATCAATATCTCTCTATTCTATTATGATTTATCATATATATTTATATTTGAACTGCGTCTTTTGTAACATGTTTGTACTTTATCAATAAGCCTCGAGAATCAAGACGAGAGGCTTCCAAGCCAACACAAGGAATCAGAGAAGCAGAGTAATTATGGGGGTGGTGATGCCTCCAAGTCATCGACTGCTGGATCCCCACCTGCAAAGAAAGATAGGCCACCAAACCAAAGCAATGACGAAGACTTCCAGCAGGTGACATCAAAAAAGAAAAAGGACCAGCGGGAAAAGCCAACCCAAATGTAAGGCCAGTTTATACATGAAATTGGACTTTCCAATAAAACCATGTTACTTGTCAAGTCAAATTAAACAATTCAATGCACATTTTACATAGGTGTCACAACAGACTTCATGGGAAATTTAAGGAACAAGTAATGCTTAAACTACCACAGTTGTTGGGGGAATTAATATTATAACACAATGTAATTATGAAAGTAGGTCGTTTTTCATGTTTTGAAGTTCAGCATATTTTGACATTTGTGAACTTCCTGCTTTCCAGGAGCCCTGAAGGGAGCAAGGAAGCTGGAGTCAGGAATGAACAACAGACATCCAGTAACCAGAGTGACAAGTGTACCAAGGATGAAGCAAACTCACAGCCGTGTGTTGACCATTCCCAAGTATCAACTGATGACCCAACAGATAAGTCAAACACAAGCCAGGAAGAAACAAAGTACACCAACCAGGAAAAGCATTCACAGCCTCCCCAATTGTAAGTGTCTGTCATAGATTGAATGTGTCTAATACAGGGCTCCAGACTGCGACCATACAGTCGCATTTTGCCACCCTTTGACTTGACTTTGTGCGAGTTACATTTTTAATTGGTCGCATTGGTGCGGGCTGCAAATTCTACCTGGTCAACTCACTCAAAATGTCCTATTTTTAGGGGTGGATAAAACCATGATTTGGTCAAACGGTAAGGTGCATTATCCTCATGACTCCTGTAATGTAAGCGTCTGCCCTGTGCCTGTTTCACACTGTTTAATAATCAAGATAAATCTTATGGCATTGAAATAAATACGGAGCTAGTATCAGAGAGGAAGAGGCTGGTAGTATTGAACTGGGTAGGAAATCAATTACATGTATTGAACTCATTAGAAAATTAATTAATTTGCCCAAGTTTATAATAAAACATGAACCGAATGCATCAGTAATTATTATTTCCTGCAACTTTCTGAAGAGGCAATGACACTGGACTGCCCCTGTCTCATCTGTGTGTGCGGTACGCGTATGTTGTAGCCGTTAGCGATGCTAATGATAACTGTCTTCTGGTAGATGGAGAAAGGCTTTCCCAAAAACCTTCTCATTAACTAGAAAGTAGCTAATGCCTACCTGTCAGAATTATATCATGATTATTTAAAGAAATCCAGTGGTTATTTGTTTTGCAAACTCTATCATCACATGTGGACTACAAAAACACAGCTAAACAACAGCCTTTTGCTAGGTGTGCACTTCAATTAAAGGGTAACTACACTCAGGGGTGAAAGTAAGGCAGAACAAAATAAATAGTGGGGGTATACCGTACCGGTAAAACATGAGGCTATCACAATAAATTACAGCAAAATGTCAAGACAACTGTGGACTTCACACCATTATTTATCATTACCGCATGACAGAGGCATGAAAAATGTGCGAACGGACTTGAAAACGGGTGGTATAGCCTACGCTCCAAAATGCGATGTAATTCGATGAGAACGTTTAATTTTGCGAAGGCAGAGATGATTGGCTGACACTGAGACGTGTGCGGACAGCAGTGGACACATCCATTCTGGTCTATTGACAATTGGCAAATGTCTTTACACTTTTTGGTGTTTTGTGTAACAGATGTCTCTTTTCATTCACCACCGTTTGGAGGCTGAAAAATGGTGTGAGTGGATGAACGTGCATGGGTAGCCTAGTAAAGCACTTTGAAATGATTGTTTGACAATCAGATGAAAACATAATAGCTGGTTGTGTTTATGCCACAATAAAAGGTAATACATTTTAAAAGGTAAAATAAACATCTTTACGGCTAGGCCCATATGCAAGCGCATGCACACATAGGAGGTCCCGTATTGGGAAGAAATTAAATCTACTTTCACCCTTGTCTACATTCCAAAATTGAAATTTCTTCGATTTTTCCAATACCTCCAAAATTGTCTCCCGATGTGGTTTAAGCATTGTTGTGGACTTACAACATCCAATTTTGTTGTTTTTCTACCAAAAAAGTTTGATTTCTAGAGTGAAAACCTGAAAAAATTGGGAAAAATCTGAAACCTGGTACAACAAAACCCATAAAAAAAAGAAGCAATTTTACTAAACGGAATTTGGCCCCAATATTTTTTTTATAGAGTTCCCACTTCCGCAAGTGGTGAATTAGCAGCAATTGAATTAGGCCGATATGTGCACATAAAGATGAAGGCAAATCTCTATTGAACCAAAAAATAATAATTCTTTAGTCCTATTTTGATGGTAAAATATAACAATAATAGCCTAATTGTCAACCCAAAAAATAATAATTATTTAGTCCTATTTTGATGGTAAAATATAACAATAATAGCCTAATTGTCAACCCAAAAAATAATAATTCTTTAGTCCTATTTTGATGGTAAAATATAACAATAATAGCCTAATTGTCATATCAAAATATCTTAATCATGCATTCTTGCTTGGGCATGTTAGATGTAACAACTTATTTATTGAATACCATCTCAGTAGTTTATTACACTTCTTATTAAGCGTTGTGAATTACTTTAGAATTACTTTATAAGATGATTTCACGTTTTTCTATTGCGTGACGCCACAATTTAATTTTTAGAGTGCGACCAAATCATGGGCTATTGCTACCAACTGAAAAGGTTAGTGGCACCAGTGCCGCCAGGGGAAAACGTTAGTCTGGAGCCCTGCTAATATTTTAAACTGTCACAGGTACATCTTCACCAAACATTAGTTCAAACTACCCCTCATTCTTTACTCGAGTTTGTGTTACAGGACCCTTGATATTTACTGATGCTGGTTTCTGTATTTTTTTTCTCTCCTTACAGCCCAACCAAAGTGCATCATGTTTCTGATAAGGATAACCTTACCATTTATTTTCACGCTGTTGTATCCAAGCGTTTCAAGTTGGACCCCTTAAATGACGTGGTTTGTTTGAAATCTGGAAGTCTTTTTGAGACCTGGGATACAAATGGATTGAAAATGGAAATCACAGGGTAAGGTAAAAAATGTTTGCCCTTTGTTGGCACTAATGTATTTAATGTTTAGTAATTGATGTGACTTTTCAATTCACTTACTTTTCTTATCATTGACTCTGATTAGTGTGTCCTAAGCAAGTCATTGTATTATGTGTTTCTGTAACCTGTTTTTCGAGTGATAGTGTGAAACAGTTGTCCGAGAATAAACATTGTAATTTCATACTCAATATGAGCCAGAAACCTCATTTAAAAAATGTTGCATATTTTTCATCATCCACTTTAAAGGGATTTAAGAGGGAATGGATTTCTTGTTGAAGGACGAATGGTGACCTCTAAAAAGAATGTTGGTGTCTCCATACCTTACAAGTATGTTGTCTACAAGAGGAAAGACAACTCATATGAGGAGAAATATGAGCACATCTACCTAAAGGATGCAGAGCAACATGTCAACAGGTGCCTATTCGTCAAAGAGGATCTTTTGACACTTGACGGTAATGCTTGACTATTATATTACTAACAAGACACCACACACACACACACACACACACACACACACACACACACACACACACACACACACACACACACACACACACACACACACACAAACACACACACTATGCTAATCAGGGTGCCTTTTCTACTTCTATGTGGAATGTATATGAAATGACATTGAACCCATAAATATTATACTGATCCATTTGTCTTATTTATTTTTTGTCATAGGGGAGTGGCACCAATATGATGATATCATACGCTCGGAACCTGACCAAAGTTGGAAGTCACGCTTCAAAAGCTGGATTGCATGGTGGGATGTCTACAAGGAAAAGGTAGTGGCGGGCAGGCAGCTGGCTGGAAAGGTGATGCTGGAAAACATTTTTAATCTACTTCAAACATGGAGTGACGTGAACATTAGGAACTTCTTTACTCAACTCCAGCAGTTCTTCACCAATTACAAATCCCCCTTCGTCCATGTGGATGGTTCAAAGACATGGGATCTGCAGTATGGAGAAGAACAGGTAGATTCGCTTGCCTATTTTGAGGAACTGTCATTAAGTAGCTTTTATGAACGAAATTGATATATAACTTGTGTTCATAAATGCTTTTATATGTATTGTTAACCGCATTTTATGAAGATAAACAAATTAAAATGTGTGTTGCTTGTTAAACAGTCACCTTGCCATTGTTTCAGCCTATCAGCTATTCTGTCAGCCATATTGTTATTTACATGTTGATGGCTCAATCGGCAAATACTTAGGAGTTGTTATCGTATTAATGTAAATGTAAGGAATCTTTATTGTACATTCCTTTTTTCAGGTGAAAACCCTTTTGAAACAGTTCATGCAGCAAGCTATAGATGGAGAGATCCAAAAGGGGAACGAGAAGCGTGAGGATTTTTTCTCTGATCCTCTGAAATTAGGAGTTATTATCCTGATTGTCCACATCAATTACAGTTTAGATGTCAGTGTACATATTTCTAAACTGTGTGAGTTGCTCTGCCTGCCTAAAAAGCCAAGAGAGGTTTTCCTTGCACACTGGACAGAGTTCACACAAGGGCTACCAGGTGACATCAGGTAGGAAATCATTTTCTTTCCTCACTCACCGAAAGTAAAGACCTTCCTAATGTTTCTAATCCAATGAATATTGACAAAATGTAAATATCTTGAACTGAAGATGGATGTTGTCTACTTTCTCCTTCAGGGTTTCGGAGGCAATTGAGACACTATGCAACTTTGCAAGAGAACAGAGAGTTGAGAAGTGGGTCTTGGTTATCCCCCTCCTGCATCTGCTTAGAGGGGAGAGCAAGCCATTTGAGGCTGTTCCGCTGGCCATGAATACAAAGTTGGATATCTGGGCGGGGCTGAAAGGGATCAAAGCACCAGAAGGCCACACAGACTCGGTGTTTGAAACACAGGGATTAAGGTAATTGGCAAGGCTTCACTTACGATTCATTTGGAATTAATGGACAATAAAATGGTTACGTCTGAACCAATTACAACAACAGGTTGAAAAGAAAGTAATACAAGTAATAGTAGTAGTAGTAGTAGTAGTAGTAGTAGTAGTAGCAGTTCAATACAAATCCTATAAGTATACCTAGAATCATATCTTTCACATTGCAGTCCAGATCTTAATTATAAGTCTACTTTATTATTTAACCAACAATTCTAATATTTATCCTATTAACACTATGTATGTTTAGTCCATAGTCCTGTTTTAAATCTCAGAGTTTTGCCTTCTTGAAAATTAGGGATTCCATCCAAATAATGGAAAAGCACAAACACCTTGTGGCGATGGACTGTCTCGTTGCTCGCTCTTGGATGTCTCTGTTGGGGCTGGATAACTTGTTCAGCTATGCATCAAGCATCCCTCTTGATGTCTTGGACACTCTTCAATACCTCCAGTTTAGACTGACTTCCGTGGAGGACTTTAAACATGAGGTACATATGTCCCTTCCTTTTGAAAAGTGAAAAAGTGTTTTGTATTTCTTTATTGTGCATTAGTTTTATGTCATACTCAACTGTACGAGTTCATGTGACTGCACTAAAAAGGTATGCTAAAAATTTAAATTTGATTTATTAGATCGTACCTCTTACAACATGCTATTATTAAGTTACTGTGTGTGTGTGTGTGTGTGTGTGTGTGTATATATACATACATACATACATACATACATACAGTGCCTTCAGAAAGTATTCAGACCCCTTGACCTTTTCCACATTTTGCTATATTACAGCCTTAATCTAAAAATGATTAAATAAACATATTTCATCAGCAATCTACACACAATACCCCATAACGACAATGCGAAAACAGGTTTTAAGAAATGTTAGCAAATGTATAAAAAACAAAATAAATAAAAAACCTTATTTACATAAGTATTCAGACCCTTTGCTATGAGACTTGAAGTTGAGCTCAGGTGCATCCTGCTTTCCATTGATCATCCTTGAGATGTTTCTACAACTTGATTGGAGTCCATCTGTGGTAAATTCAATTGATTGGACATGATTTGGAAAGGCACACACCTGTCTATATAAGGTCCCACAGTTGACAGTGCATGTCAGAGCAAAAACCAAGCCATTGAAGGTCACCAAGAACACAGTTCTTAAATGGAAGAAGTTTGTAACCACCAAGACTCTTCCTAGAGCTGGCTGCCCGGCCAAACTGAGCAATCGGGGAGGTGACCAAGAACCCGATGGTCACTCTAACAGAGCTCCATAGACAAGTTTACGCGCTGTATCCCGGGTGGCGCCATAACTCTACACAAATGCATTTCATTTCCGCCGGAAGTTGTTGGCACAACGTCTGCCGGTGTAAACACAGCGATGTCGACGCTAGCTTGGGAACACGGTTCTACTACTATGCCCCAACCCGTCAAGGAGCGGAGGGGGAGGAACTTGCAAGGGACTATTTGGAAACTTTGGGCAACAGCATTGAAACCAAAGGCTTAGTGGTGTGCGAAAAGGAACCGTGGCTTGCAGCATCTCCCGATGGAGTGATAAACAACGACATTCTGTTGGAGATCAAATCACCTGTGATGGGAAACAAGTCACTTGCAGAATTTTTGGCAACAAAGAACTGCGAAATCACAACTGTGGCAAACGGAGATAGGGTAGATTACCATATTGCCTGCAATGGTCCAAAAGGCTACTACATGCAGGTACAAATTGGGATGCACTTCACAGGGCTTCAGCACTCCAAGTTGGTGATCTGGAACAAAACTGAGCACCTAGAAATCGAAGTACCCTACGACCAAGGCTTTGTCCAGGGGCATATCATAAGGCTGCGCACCATCTACTTTGCCCACATGCTCCCGAAAATTGTTGATGATTTTGTTGAGGGAAGGTTACAGTTCTGCAGTAAATATCTCAGCATTTTAAAACCAAAATAAACTGCCTTATTTAGGTCATGCCCACAGGAGCCAACAGATGTCCATTGTTTACATGATCTCTTTATGCTGTGCAATATATCAGTGTGCCTACTGTTTGAGTGAAAATAAAGTTTGATGTAATTTCAATCCTTAGAGTGCTACAATTTATTTTAACACAGTTCATAATTCATAGTAAGCTCATACTGTACATAAATAACACTGGATTAATTAATTGTTTTGAGGAAACTAAACAAATGGCTTCAACAAGAAAGATTGCGTGTTTAATCTTAACAGGTATTAAAAAGTAAAATACAAAAGCAGCCCACACAATTACATCACTATGAAAATATTCATATATAATATTAAAAAATACAATGCACGCAGTATTTGTTGTGTTTATCTGTATTTAATGAACATCATGGCTGGGTGTTGGTAGACAGGGACACAGGGCAAGATTCTAAACCTCACTGATCAGTGGACTCTTCAGGTTAACTAGGCCAGCACAGATGGTTAAGATGTTGTCCAGTTTCGGTGCCATGCTGATGGGAACATTCTGGGATAAAATCTTAAACACCTTCAGTCTCTGGATTGCTCTTTCCACATGTATGCGGACATTGGCTACTCGCCTGGTGCGTGTCGTCTCCTCATTGGTCAACTGATTGCGCCTGTAGGTGAAAGCAGGGATGTTCAAACTGACCCTTCTCTCATCAAGCAAGTCTCGAATGGTGAACCCACGGTCCGCCATGACCTCATCACCAGCCCTCAGATAGTCTAGGAACCCACTGTCCATGGTGATAAACTTATAGCTGCTTCTGCCAGCATAGGCATCAGATATAAACATGATTAGCCCATTAGGGGCCACAGCGACAAGATATTTCACAGTGTTGCGTGATTTATACTGGCTGAAAGTGTCACTCCTTGAGTCATGGTTTGTGGCTCTCTGCATGGCACTTTCGGCACAGTCAATGATGCAGGTGGTTCGAGGGTAGTTCCTCTGAAATGACAAGGGCATGGTGGCACGAATGGTCTCTCTTGGAAGCCAGGGGATCAGGACTTTGAACTGTTCACCCATCACGTCAATCCAGTGACTAATCACAATGCTTGCCATGGATGTAGACACATTGAAGCGGTGAGCAATATCTCCTAATATTAGGTTTAGTTTTAGTTTCATCAACGTCATAAGTATTTGGTCAACAACAGGAAGGGTAATTGATGGCTTACTGAAAGGCAACAACACCGTCACCAGTGTGAAGAATTGAACCATAAGCACTCCTGTATACAGCCGGGACCTAGCATCATCAATGACCGTGGTGCTGGTCACAGTAGGACCCATTTCTGCCTCGCACTGTGTGGCCTTGTCTACTTTAACAGACTGTGTTGAACAGTAAATGTGATCAATATGTGACGGATCCTCCCATTGGGTCTGGGCATCTCGAAATGTTGGTGTAGCAGGCTCGGCCTCACAGGTTTCTGGAGCATCTAAAAAGGGGAAGAGAAAACATGGATGGAGCAAAATTAATGCAGGCATAGAGTCCTCTCACTACAAACATCACAATGGAAAAATGTGTACTACAACATTGCACTCACACGCACACACACAATCATCATCACAACAGCCTGCCACCTTGCATTGTATTTATGATGTAGACTAAGGCACATGCAGGCAGGCACACACACACACACACACACACACACACACACACACACACACACACACAATTAATGATGTAGCTATCGTGGGCATTGTTTGTCCCATCTCCAAAACAATCAACTGCCTTAGCAAAATACCGGTAGCAATGTTAATGTATGACAACTTCTTCATAATTAACAGTATTGTCAGCTTCATAGCTAAAGTTGCTGAACTTACCCTCAGATTCAAGTCTGCGTTTCTTTATCTGGGAGGAGGCAGTGGTCCGCTGGGTGAGTTGACGCCTATTTGGCTGGGGAGGGCGATTGTATCCCAACCACAACTCTGGGAAAGGATTATCCTTGGTATGTTTTTGGTCAACAAAGTGATAGGAACAAACAAAAACGTTGAGGGGTGGTTTCTTTAGATTCAATGCCTTCAGCCAGGTCCTTGATTCCGAGTCAGTATCAGGCTTGCGAAAAAATATAAACAATGGAGCGCATGGACATTGCCTCTTTGTAGCTGGTTTGTGGTCATAGCACTCTCTATCTAACCACTCGTTCAGGTGCTTTCTCGAGTTTTTGCAACCAACTACCGCACACGTCGTTCCCGAACCACTTTTCTTCATGTTGTATTTGTAATTTTTATATCCTCTTTGTCACTGCGATATCAGTGCTTTGTCGGCACAACGGAGCTAGCTAGCAAAACAAACCCAGCCCGGCAGAACGGAACTGGATTGCATCGACGGGAGGAGTTCAGGAAGTAGAGCGGAAACGGCTCAAAAACTTGTCTATAGTTCCTCTTTGGAGAGGGGAGAACCTTCCAGAAGGACAACCATCTCTGCAGCACTCCACCAATCAGGCCTTTATGGTAGAGTGGCCAGACGGAAGCCACTCCTCAGTAAAAGGCACATGATAGGCCGCTTGGAGTTTGCCAAAAGGCACCTAAAGACTCTCAGACCATGAGAAACAAGATTATCTGGTCTGATGAAACCAAGATTGAACTCTTTGGCCTGAATGCCAAGTGTCACGTCTGGAGGAAACCTGGCAACAGGACCTCAGACTGAGGCAATGGTTCAACCTTCCAACAGGAAAACGACCCGAAGCACACAGCCAAGACAACGCAGGCGTTGAGAGTCTTTAGGTGGTTTCGGGACAAGTCTCTGAATGTCCTTGAGTGGCCCAGCCAGAGCCCGGACTTGAACCCAATCGAACATCTCTGAAGAGACCTGAAAATAGCTGTGCAGCAACACTCCCCATCCAACCTGACAGAGCTTGAGAGGATCTGCAGAGAAGAATGGGATAAATTCCCCAAATACAGGTGTGCCAAGCTTGTAGTGTCATACCCAAGAAGACTCGATGCTGTAATCGCTGCCAAAGGTGCTTCAACAAAGTACTGAGTAAAGCGTCTGAATACTTATGTAAATGTGATATTTAATTATAAATTAGCAAACATTTCTAAACATGTTTTTGCTTTTTCATTATGGGGTAGTGTGTGTAGATTGATGAGGAATTAAAAAACAAAAAATATATTTTAGAATAAGGCTGTAACGTAACAAAATGTGGAAAAAGTCAAGGGGTCTGAATACTTTCCGAAGGCACTGTATGGCTTGCGAAAGTATTCACTCCCCTTGGCATTTTTCCTATTTTGTTGCCTTACAACCTGGAATTAAAATACATTTTTGGGGGGTTTGTATAAATTGATTTACACAACAAGCCTACCACTTTGAAGATGCAAAATACTTTTTTGTGTGAAACAAACAGGAAATAAGACCAAAAAACTGAAAACTTGAGAGTGCATAACTATTCGCCCCCCCAAAGTCAATACTTTGTAGAGCCACCTTCAGCAGCAATTACAGCTGCAAGTCTCTTGGGGTATGTCTCTATAAGCTTGGCACATCTAGCCACTGGGATTTTTGCCCATTCTTTAAGGCAAAACTGCTCCAGCTCCTTTACATTTACATTTACGTC